ATAGAGATAGAACGTCTCATTCGAAACAATATAATAAAGTCTCGGATTAAACAAATGTAGTGCAATTTTAAGAATCAGCATCACAAATGCATTTAGTATTTTATTCTGAGGGATTAGTCACTTAACTTCCGGTGTTGGTCTTTCCTTCTGCAGCTTTGATGAAGTTCAGACTCTCACAAGTTCAGAAGAGCAGTTTCGATCGTGGGGCGCCCCCTGTTGGCACCGGAGTGTATGTTTTTGAACTTGTATCACAAGTGGTTACGTATTCCTGCAGGCAGAGGCATTATTATTGGATGTCATATTGCAAAGGTACATTTAAAGCAGTCGTGTTACACTCATGCTAACGAGCAGTTATAGTCTGGTGATAGAGAAACTTAGTTGTATTCTAGTACTATTTTTCTTCATTTATTTAGGCACATCTGCTTTGATACTGTACATTTATTGTCGTCATCTCACTTAGTAAAGTGGGAAAATGAAAGAAAAACCAAAATACAGGTTTAGTAAGGCGGTGAGAGACGCTAAACGACTGTACTCTGAGAAACTGCAACACCAGCTCTCAGCAAGTGACTCTGCTTCTGTCTGGAGAGGCCTCAGACAGATAACAAACTATAGGCCTAAAGCCCCCCACCCCATGAATGATCTACGCCTGGCAGACGAGCTGAACGACTTCTACTGTCACTTTGAAAGACAATGGGACAGTCCTGACCCCACCCCCCCATGGCTCCATCATCCAGCCCCAGACCACCAGGTCCCCCTTCCACAGCTCAGCAGGGGCCCATGCCTCTGTACCACCCATCCCAGAAGTTCAACCTGCCAAAGACAATGATGGTGCACTTCTACACAGCCATCATTGAGTCCATCCTCTGCTCCTCCATCACGGTCTCAGCTCTGCTGAGAGGGTGATTGGCTGCAATCTGCCGTCCCTCCAAGACTTGTTCGCTTCAAGGACCCTGAAGCGAGCCAGAAGGATTGTAGCCGACCCCTCTCACCCTGGACATAAACTGTACGAGCCCCTTCCATCTGTTAGGAGACTGCGGTCCATCAGGACCGAGACCTCACGCCAAGAACAGTTTCTTCCCTTCTTCAGTTGGACTCATCAACAAAGCCCGGGTCCCCCACTGACTCTGACACTTACATCCCCAGGACTCCTTTCCCAGTTAATATACACTTGACATTTAATGATATACTTGTTTTAATATACTCGTTTGTTTACCATGTTTTTATATTTTATTGTCAATTTCAATAGGTTTCTATTTTTAAATCATGTCTTGTATTTTGCACTGTGTTGATTGTTTAATGTTATGCAGCATCCACCATGTCAAATTCCTTGTATGTGTTACTTTGGTAAATAAACGGTTCTGATTCCTTAACAAACTTCAAGTTTTGCATACATTAGAGTTTGGAGTTACTTTTTATTGCACAACTATTTTGTGGTGGACGACAAATTGACAGATTGTGAAGATATCCATTTACATTTCTAAAAAAATACTGCAGGTTGCACTGTTTTGGAAAGGAGAGTCTTTCGTAAGATTTACAAAAATGATATATTCCTTACATTGTACCAAAATGGTCAGTTTTAATGTGAACACTAAAGATAACGTTCAAGTGAATAGAACTGCACCTCGGACCCGCAATATTAAAGCGATGTGATCACAGGTCAGAGAGATTGTCCTTTCCTGGTGACCTACATCCTTTCCTGGTGACCTACATCCTTTCCTGATTTACTAATTATAGTCATTGTCAAGAGAGAAATATAGTCATTGTCAAGAGAGAGAGAGCAGGAAGCATTACATCACAATCCATTTGTTCTGGCCATATTCAACTATTTTGCGATAAATGTATTATATTAAATGTCTATCGTTATTACATTAGTTGGACCTTTTCAGGAATCCTTCAGAAACTACAGGACCGTTTTCCTTCCACACGTGTTTGGCACTGCTCGCAGTGATGGATGTCAAATAATGGGAATAATAAAGCTTAAATTTAGGCTACAGTAGTAGATTCAACATCAATGTCTTATGCAGTGTAACACAATGCAAAAAGAATGTTACGTATTGTGTGGGGGGAATGACAAATAAAAGCAGCTAGTGTCAAGTAAAGTGGTAATTAATAACTATTGGAATACTAGGGAGCCGTCGTAAATGTTTGACAAGTTAAAATGTCTGCTTTGAAAAAGGCAGATCAACATTTCAGACATGTACAAACAACCATCATCCATATCTTATATAGGCTGTTGTAAACACTAGTCAGCATCTGTTACATCCCCTTGTGTAGTCTAGAGAAAAAGATAACACGATTACACAACAACCAAAGAATAATAAAGAGTCAAGAGTAGAAGGAACAATTAAAGAGATTTATTTTAAAATCAGGTATGTGCAAACAAAGGTTTTCAAACAATGTGGGAGAGGATGAGACAAAGTGGTCGTGCCAAACAAATAGAATTCAATACAACAAAACTAGGCCTGGCTAACTCCTACCTCTGAAAACAAAACAAACAAAATGGCTTTACATGTTTATCTAAAAATAGCTTCACCAAAACAAATACAGGGGTGGCACCGGCCAATAATCTTAAACTATTTAGACAAAGTTAAACTACGTGGTGGTACAAGTGTAACGGGTACACAAACTCACCTACTGTCCCACCACAAATCTTCACAATTTAACAACAACAGTGTCACAGCTCAAGCAAGCAGAGAACAAAAACAAAGAGAGTGAACTCCTCAGGCTTCCTCCTTTTATTCTGGGACACACTGATTGGCCAGCTTGAAATCTGTGGGAACCAAGAAGCAGCATGACTGGCTTGCACAGGTGGAAACCAAACACCTTGTTGGTACCTGGAGAGAGAAAAAAGGAGGGAGAGAGAAATCTTCCACATTGCCGATACAAATTTCTATCCTTCCTCATCTACTTACTGTTATATGTGATTAAATAACTTGAGTGAATACACAAGTCACATATACTAAAGAAAGAGATCAAACATTATGTTTTCTTCACACCTGATGATAGTTTGTTAATCATCCTTCACGCCAATCAGCAATGAACATACAAACCATTGAACAGGACAACTTAGTCACTGTAGACATGGCCCTGTTAACTTTCATATCTATCGCCCACAAATAACCACCATTCAGTCATGCATTTCAAACACGTACCAGAAAGAGCTCAAACAAAACCTTAAAAGTCGACTGTCAGCATTTAAAACATGTCTGCAGTTTCCTGCCTGCTGGGGGTTTGTTCAGCGGACCGACACACGGTGGCGGTAGAGAGTCAACACGGACCTTATTTTATGGCCTCGAAGAAAAACACGACGACTGCCGATTGGATGATTGCTGACGGAAACGAAGAAGAAGAGAAGACTGAACAAAAACAGACGTGAACGCACGTTGACGTGACCGTGAAACAGACGGGAAAATGTGAAATGTAATAGCCTACAGAAAGTCTTAACTCCTGCGTGGACGGCAGGTTTTGGTCAAATTATTCATATTCCATGTTTGTTAACACACGTGTTGTGTCTCACTTTGTTTTCTTATTTAAATAGATGTCGCGGTTTTTCCCGTCCATCAGCTGTGTGTACAGTGTGTCCAGTGGGGTCATACGTGGAGGTCCTCGCAGTTTTCTTCCCCTGTTAAGGCCGCTCCCGCCCGGACTGACATGTGTTTTGGCAGCCGGTAAAAAGGACCTGATAGACTTCCCTGTCCTGAACGAGGACGAGCTTGAAGAGCAGTTTGTGAGAGGATCTGGACCCGGAGGACAGGCCACCAACAAAACCAGCAACTGTGTGGTGCTCAAGCACATCCCCAGTGGGACTGTTGTGAAGGTTAGTCCTGTTTTTAAACAGTCAACATATTGACACATATAATAGATATTTGGTGAATAAATGACAGAGTTCTGATGATGAATTTCTTAACCTTGAAAAATCAGTCTCACCTCAGTGTCCATAGCTGTTCTGATGCTTTTAATCATGACATGATCTTCAGCCAAAGATGCCCAGTTGTCATCAAAATGTAGAAGTTGAAATTAAAGGACTTCTTGTCCAAGTTGGTTTAGAAGTTCAGATTCACGGTGAAGTTGTTTAAGTTTTGTTATTTACTAACCATGTTAATGTAATTTATTGTACCATTTCCCCTGCAGTGCCATCAAACCAGATCTGTGGATATAAATCGAAAGCGTGCTCGGGACATCATGCGCGAGAAACTTGATGTTGTTTATAAAGGAGAACTCAGTGAAGTTATTGTAAAGAAGAAAGAGTCTGAGGTGAGGAAACAAGAGAAGAGGAAGAAGGCAAATGAGAATCTAGAGAGAAAAAGACTCTTTAGAGAAGCTCTGGCTGCAGACTCCAAACCTGGAAATAATACTGTTTAAAATGTTAGATGGGAATATAGAATGAATACATTAATACCTGAGAGGTTCTGTATGTTTGTATGTCGACACAGACTGGATAACTAAACCTGGAAGGGTGTACTGTCAACAGTTGTATATCCAGTAATCCTTGTATTTGTATGGTGTCTTTCATGCAAAGTTACAATACATAAGATGAGAAAAGAAACATAAAATAGAGTCAAAAGTGTTGTGCGGAGTGTGGTTCATCTTTCAGTGCTTGAAGAGATGTTTTCAAGAAAACAACATTCATTCGAGACACAGTAAACTTTAGATACAAGTTGCAGAATACTTGTACCTGTAGGTGTTATTTGTCTTGGATGCATATTTCTTTAACGTTATCATTTGATGACATAACTTCCCCTCACTTACTTCCTGTACATTGTTAGTGTTGTAGTCTCAGTTTCATATCTGAATGTGTCCCCACACTACAGCCTTTCCTGCCGGCTCATTTGATATTGAAAACCCAGAACAAGTCAACAACATTAAAGCTGCAGCACTGATGTTTTTAACTGGATCATTTTGTAGCATAACATGCTCCATGTCTAAGTATGCTTGAAACTATTCTGTTAATTGATTTGATTTATTTCTCTTTAATCATCACACGTGCTTCGTAACGTCATATGAAATTTAACATTTTTCAGATGGTATGCTTTCAAATGCTCTTTCTGCTCCGTATTCTAAAATATCCAAAACACATTCATTATAATTGAATAATATAGACTTAAATGAATTAACCCGACTGAGATTAAGATATTTTTGCAACGTAAACATGACTACAGCCCAGCTTTGGTGGGACCATAGACTGTATGGGTGGGACACATGCATCGAGTCAGACTTTGTTGACCGGCCGTGTGACGGTCAGAGCTGTAGCCAATGAGAGAGCTACCTTCACACTCGTGCCCCTCCCTCGTGGACAAATGAGCCAATGAGAGGTGCAGAACGGTTTTTAAATGCTACACGCTCTCAGGCTCTACTTTGTACCGTAGAGGTCTGATGTTTCGTCGTTGCAGAAGCAGTGACTTAAACTAAGCAAAGCGAGGAGCTCGTGGACACAGGGCAAATTAAATAGACTCCCCGTCCTCTAATTTTATTTTTGGGACCTGACATGGCAAAAGGTAAACTTTACTAATGTGTTGTCGCTTCCGCACTTGTTGCATGTCACACAAGCCACAGTAAATTAATGTGTAGCTAACGCCAACTAACCAAAATAGAGTACATACTTTAAAAATGCATTTAACTGGTCTTTACTAAAAGTAGTTTTAATCATGCTCGCCGGTTATAGTCGACGTTTGTATCATGTCACGACAGCAGTGTTTACATTTATTTATTTCCGTGTTTATAAAGGGAAGAAAGGTGTGCCGAGAACCGACAAAAAGCTCGAGGACACGGACGAACATAAAGTCGCCTCGCGGAAGGAGACAAAGGAAAACAAACCAGCAAATAACAAGGTGTGTTTTGTTGTTTGGCTTTACGCTTTTGTGTTTTAAAAATACAGAAAGAAACGGCTATTTTCTTTTTGTGCTACATTCTGTGTTAACCCACGACCCGAGAGGTAACGACTCTGCTGCTGGGGTCCTGCCTCCGTTGCAACAGCTTTAACCTTAACCCAGAATTGAGCCTTTCAGGCTAAATCTACCACACACCGTGTACTGCCCCAACAACCAATCAGAGGGTAAGGTGTCTGTGTAGAAAGAAAGTGCACCATATGTACACATTGTCATTAGAGGAATTGCGCAATGAACAGCCCGTACACTAACATTGTACAAAGTCCATTTCCAAATGAGCAATCCAAAATCCACACTATACATGTATTTACATCTGGCACTGGCACTGGTTGGGTACCTGAACACCCTCATTTATTAATAAACTATAATTTAATCCTAATGCATACGCCACCAATTAGACATGGTGCTGTTACCGTTGTAATGTTTACCACTTCCGGTTGTAGTTGGCAGGCATAGTGGTGAAGTCTTCATCTATTTCTAATTGTTTCACTAGGGTAAATAATATATATATATTTTTTGCAGGATTGCGTAGGTACTGTGCAGTCAATTTTACCAAGTCTACGGAGTCAACGCAAACCTCGATCCCCTCTGAGCGACAACTCAAGCATGCTGATCCAGGAGAGAAATGAATCCGATGCAACTAATGCATTCACAACAAAATTAAAAAAAGGTGAGTACCTAATTAACGTTTAAAACGGTTCAAATCAACTAATAGGAAATGTGGTTGTTTGGTCATTTCTATTTTATATGATCTATCTATCCATCTGCTGTTAACCACCCCATGTTAGTGTGGTCAGCAGATCCATGTGTGCCACAGAAACATTTCCTGTGCATGTGAGTGGTAGCAGTGTTCACTGACCCACTGTCTTATGACACAACTTAACTTTTTGATTTATAAGGAACTTCTCTGTGTTGACTAAGGCAAAGTGTTTCGGACAGCTGTCCATTTCAGTCTTTGTTTCTTCCTCTAGACATACCTAATGAAATAAAATCTGAGAGTTGTGAGTCCAAGGAGCAGAAGCCTGAAATGACTTGTTCCAGTCATGAGATCAGAAAACAATCCACGGACCAACTTGAACAAAAAGACTCGACCACACACACAAGTGCAAAGTCTGCAGCAGCCAACAAAGTTTCAGACAAACCTCAGAGTAGAACTGGTCGCAAGCCCGGAGCAAAAAAGTAAGCACAGAAAAACAAGAAGTCACGGGCGCTTTCACAGATAGTTGAACAAATCAAAATGTCATTTCTTTAATTTTCTTTTCAGGACGAAGAATAAAGCTCTCCAAAACAGAAAGGTCACAGATTATTATCCCATCAGACGGAGTAACAGGAAAACAAAGACAGAGTTAAAGGTCTGTATGAAATGTTTTTATTATGATTAGTTATTATTGCTGACTTTATTTAGTTTCTATTCTGCAACTCTATATCACTACCCATAACAGAAGGTTTGACTTTGATGCAATTACTGTTATTGCCAACAGAGTGAGGAGCACAGACACATCGATGACCTGATAAAGAACGACATTGAAGAAGGAATGCAGGTAACACTTAATGGTTTCAATGTACTGTGGCCATTTCAGTCCAAATGCGTTCCATACATTTCACTGTGAATAGTAAAAAAAATCTGTTTAGTAACAACACAATTCATTGGTTGTCTTTAATGGCAGAGTTATACATTTTACTAGAGTGGTGTGCATTTGCAGTAGATCAGTCATTTCTGTGACAAATATTTTATTTTTCACCAAAACATATTCTTTGTTATTTAACCAGTCATTGGTTGATGCTTAGTTTGGGCAAAAGAATCCCTAACCACGTTAGAAGTTTAATGTTTTTGAAAGTCGCAGTAAAGCACCCCTGTTGTATTTCACACGTCGCTGCTTTTGAACGTCAACAGATCAAACCCATAGAAGGAAAGGGAAGAGGGATATTTGCTGCCAAGATCTTCAAAAAAGGAGAGTTTGTTGTGGAGTACCATGGAGACCTGCTGGAGCTAGCTGAGGCTAAAATAAGAGAGGCCCAGTACACCCAGGATCCCCAGAAAGGCTGTTACATGTACTACTTCCAGTATCAATCCAAAACTTACTGGTATGTCCAAACGTCACCACCATGACATAGGATTTGTTGTTGTGCCAATTCTATAAACTTAAGTTTGGTTGCATGTCATACCCATCATGTATACACAGATGTTTTAGAGAATGTATGGTAAGGAAAATTATCCTCAAGAATTGGGCTGTCTAAGGAAGTACGTTCTTGTAATGAGCAGTCTCCTTATAAAATACTTTTCATAGGTGTCATTAAGATTGCAAAAGGCTTTAAATAAATAAAACAAATCCTATATCCGTGACTCCCAGTTTGGATACCCGTCTTGTGCTTTAGTGACAGTTTAATCTTGAATTGTTTACGCTTCACAGTGTGGACGCTACAGAGGAAACGAGCCGTCTTGGAAGACTGATCAACCACAGTAAAGCTGGAAACTGTCAGACTCGGCTTCACGCCATCGATGGAACGCCTCATCTCATCCTGGTGGCGTCCAGAGACATCGTAGCCGAGGAAGAGCTGCTGTACGACTACGGCGATCGAAGTAAAGCCTCCGTGTCGGCTCACCCGTGGCTCAAATACTGAATCCACGACGACAGGCGTTCATATTTCAGATGAATTGGTGCTCGTCCTGTTCAGCTTAATGTAAAATAAGCTAAGAATGAACAGTCCTCAACAGGCTTTTTTTATCGGGTATAAAATATGTTATAGTTTTAAACAAGGGCGATCAACTCGTGAGTGTATTTTTGCAACTGTTTTTTTTTTTAAATCATGGTTTTATTTTTTATTTTATCAAATAGTACCAGATTGAAGCTTGAAAAGTGTTTCACATTGTCTATGGTGTTTCCTTTTGTAGTGATTATAATTGACAATTCAATTTCACTATTGTAAATTATTACTTGTGCCGTAAATTAAGGGATAAAACACTGAGTTTTCATTCTAGCTGTGACATGGTTCACGTTGAAGACTATCTGAGGTATTTATGAAATATGGTGTTCTAAGATGACACGCTCCTCCACTTATTTTGGGCATTTTTACTGTAATTTGATACTTGCCAGTGTGGAAATGTATGGGGGGGGAGGGGAGGGGGGGGTATAACATGCAACAAAGGTCCACGACTAGAAGGGAGCAGAAAATGTTGTGGTTATGTGGAACAAACCTTCAGGCTACCAAGTCTCCTAAATGTCATATTTACAGCCAGATTGAAGAGAAAGCTTCTGAGTTGTGAGACTAAAAGACACAATAAGAGCACAATAAATGAATAACAAAATGTTGTGACTGTTGCCTTTCAGCTGCATTTCTATTGTACAGAGACACACAGTGGCTTATAGAACAACAGTAATGTTGACGGTACCTTTAGATATGTGCAACAACGTTTTGAGTGGACTCTGACTTTACTGAATTAACAATACAAATGTATTTGTCTACTTTGAGATGAGAACTTGTATTGGTGTGAAACAACACATTAAATATTTTAAAAATAATCAATTTTCATGCCTATAAATGACTTCATTTCGAGTGAACGCATTCAACATAATCTCCAACACTCGTGAGATAATACTTTCCAGTTTCATTTCATATCTTGTATATATTTCTACTACATCTACTACGGTAAACGATTTTAGGTTAAAATCACCAGTACAAAATACAGTGCTTGTTAGATTGACAATAGACATGGTAAAAAATAATCAATATAAAAGTGTCTAACTGACAAATCCCGTTTGTCTTCTCCGTGGTCAGTTCTTCTGAGAGATTGTTCTTATTTTCGCCTGAATGAAAACCTATAAACAGAAAAGGTCCAGAGTTAATTTAAGGTGTTTTACAGACCAGTAAAACTGCTCAATGCGAGAGAGAAACGTTGAGTCATGACAACATGTAATTACTGATGGCTGACAGCAGTTTGGCAGACACACTGCCGATTTACAACTTCTCTCGTTCTCTCGTTCAGCGCTCACAAAAACATCCTTCGCATCAGCAAGAATTAATTTGGTCACAAGTACATCGTTAGGAGACGGCTGTGAGAACAATCTCCCTGCTAGCTTACTTCATCGTCATGTGCTTGCTGATTATATTTGACTTGAAACCTTTCCATCTGTAGTTTACGGGTAAAAATAAAAGTTCCTTTGCGCTACTCCTTTCAAATGACTTCTTTGTTGTCTGCATATTAATATTCCTGTTGTTTTTTCTTTCTTGGCTAACATTAAGGGACTACGACTGCATTTCGTTGTGCAACGACGGTGTCACATGAACCTTGTTTGGTCTACTCACAGTTTGCCTATGGTTGTCTTCTCCTCTTTTGCATCATTTATGATGGCTGGACTGCGCTGTGGTGTCTGTGTCCCCAGATCCACCTCCACCATCGCTGCTTCAGCCTGTGGCAGAATCCCACTGCAGAACAAAGAAGACATTTTAATGCCAAGGTGTTGTACATCAAAAACAGCTGTAAAACAAAATCCACACTATCAAGTTGAAGCTATCGATGAGATCGATCTCTTCCCCTTCTAAACTAGAATCAGTGTTTTTAAAAAGTAGCAATGGAGACTAATTTCAGCGTCATAACATCAGAACAGGTAATTTCTACTGTTGATGTCTATATAATACTGCGGTGCTGATATATATTATTATATTACAAGTCTTTATGATAGTAAGTGTCTTTATACAGTCTCTGTATTAGTAATGGCAGATATGGATGGGATAATACTGGATAATAGTGTCCATTTAGAAAAATATCAGTATCACTAGTGTTTATGAGTGTTAGATGTGTATTATTAATATTAATATTGCCTGTAGGCCAACAGATCTGGTCTTAAAAGTAGTTTATCAGCCTGAAACAAGAATAAGTGGTACAATTCAGATTTCACATTGGAGTTTCCTCTGAAAACAACTTCATGAAAAATCTAATGTAGTACTATACAACAGTCCTGCAATAAATGTTCAGTTCTGTTATTGTGAGAGAGGTTTTGATTTAGCTATAGATCGTTTATAACGCTGTAGTTAGTGGTGGTGTTGTGATTATAATGCTCTGTCCTGTATGTACATGCAGGTGGACACATGATAGAAAAATGCATTCATAAAAAGAGGTCCCATGATATAAGTTGAATTAAAAAAACTCAATAACAACACGTTAGATCCCATCATAGAGACTCCACCTCTTGTACAGCTGGAGCTCCTCCTGAGCCACCATGAGCTGAGCTTTGAGCTGGTTCCTCTCCTGCAGAACCTCCTTCAGCTCCTGCATGGTGAAGCGCGGTCTGTTGGGGTCTGTGAGGTCCACCAGCAGCTGGTTTGGACCCGCTATTTGCTTCAATGGCAGACAGGAAAACAAAGCATCTCTAAACGTCCGCTTCACGTGTGACACATGACTGTAAGTGAACCGTACACGACTGCAACACTCACCATGCCCGGTCCAGCGGAGCTCGACTTGAGGATCCGGTCCAGCTCACTCCTCAAGTTGTCCCGCTCCATTTTCAGCTCCTCCAGAGACAAGTTGTACTTATTTACCAGAGTCTCGAACATTTCCAACACGCGGACTATTCTGAACTGTAAGTCCGACACTTCTTCGCCTGTGCTGCTTATTTTCAACAGATCTCGTCCGATCACATAGGAAATGTCATACACATCCTCCACCGTGAGCTCAAACGCGTCCTTCTCGAAAGCCAGAGCAGGCGACGACTCTTCTCCAAACTCCATGACGGAACGATTCGACTCCTAAAAACACCGGAATAAAGTTAACTTCCGTCCGCTGGCTACTTTTTACGACGCTGTAAAATATCGCTCTCTTTCTTTTTGTCTCGAGCTCAACACATTAACTGGCAGAAGGTAAAACTTCCAGAGCAGCGGCACTTCCTCCCCATCAGTCATCCGCCAATGGCGTGACTCGCTGGGCCAGCAGAGGAGGGCAAAGTATCCTAGCGACAGGTGAGTACAAAGATCGTACATGTGTCAAGATGACTCACTCAACACTGTCAATACGTGAACACGGCTCCTTTGCTCACGTTACAGAAACGCAGGTAATGAAGGAAGTTTGAGTTAGAGCTCTTAGTTTTTCTTCTCAGCATCAGGTGGGAAAGCACGTGATTTAATGTTTTTATTTTTTTTATTTACTCACTCGCACTGCTCTCCCTCTCTCTTGGACTGTTAATATACTGTATGTTGTTATATACCACACTAAAAACATGTTGCTTTGAAGTTATACTATTTTCTATTAATAACGTATACTGTTTTATTACATTACGTACTATATATGTCCATATTAATACGTACAAACACAAAGTATCATTCATTATCATATTTACAGTATTAATCTGGTGTACACTGTTTACATTGCTAGTGTTGCTGCTACTTATCACACCATTATGTTGGAACTTTGAGTTCTATTGTAGTTTCCATTTTTATTTCATTTTATATTCCTCTAATAATTGTTTCTCAATTTATCCGTATTTATTTCTGTTTTTGTGCTACTGCAACACCTGAATTTATCCTCCAGGAGTCAATACAGGATTATTTTAGCTATCTTCTATTTTTATTTATTTATTAAAATTAAATGACCAAGGGAAAGGTTCTTGCCTACACAAAAGGCCATACAAACCTACATCTAGCACATTTGTTTTAGCCATATTCCTATTTGATTGTAACACAATAACAACATGAAAAAGATGAAAAATAAAACTTTATTACTTTATTCTGGAGAAGCATTATTTTACAGATGCAACACTGTTGGCTGTTAGGGCATGTTTTTACAGTACTCATTATTGAGCTGTTGTTGGAATAGGTTTACTGGTCCTACTGGTGTTTTACCAGTATGATTGTACTCGTGTAAACCATAGAAGGTGGTGCCACAATGTAGTGCTGCAGGTATACAGTAATATCCTCTTTTCATCAATTCAGGGGACTAAGCACATTATCCCAAACAGTCTTTTGATGGAAAATAGAGGTGCATGATCCTCCAGCTCATTTGCTGCACCTTGAAAAATGACTGACACACTTGACAATAATTTGTTATATAATCAGATACATCATAAATGACACAAGATGTTCCATTTATCGGTCTTATAGCAGCTAGACCAACCACTGATATTTGATGTCATTATTCAGAGACTGCTAAGAAACTTGAAATTCAATCCATCTTTTGAGAAACGATGTGACAGAATTACTGTATTTTGATCAAGCAATGTAGTGGGAAACTTGGGTGCTAAAATATTTGACATTACAGCAGCATGTGCATCATTTCACGTTATGATTTTTGATGACGCCTCTTCGAGGTCATAAACACACATTAAAGTGTCCAGATATGGCCAAAATGTTTTATAAAAGTTGACACTGTGTAAACACCATACAGATTTAGTTAAGTTAAGTAATGCAGCAACTTAATCAATTATTGTAAATATGTCTATTGACAACCTTTGTTGAGAGAAACAAACTGGTGTAGACAACAGAGTGGAAAAAAATAAGACCAATCGTATAATTCAAACGCACGGTCATACAAAGAAAAGTCTTCTGATTGGCAGCAATGTAGGGTCGTCTGCAATCAAACCGGCTGCCACCATCGGCATTATGGCAGTGAAGATCCTGTCCAGAGGTGACAATGGAAACAGTGACACAACGAGATGGAGAGAGAAAAAAGTATTAGAAGCGTTGTTGTGATCTCTAATCACTGTTATATATGAACCACAGTGAACCACAGTGACACTCGCTATTGACACCTGACATGATACAAAAACAAGCGCTATTTGTTTTTTACAGATTCCTGTACGATCAGTTAAGGATGTTTCTCTGATGGCATTTGTGAGACACATTATGATGATACATTACACCAATGGAGTGCCACAGGAAGACATTAGAACAGGGCGGAGAGATGCTGGCCCTCTTGACAAAAACAAAAGGTAAAAGTTGGTGAATGAAGAAAAGTCAACTCATTACTTACAAGCGTCTAATTCCTGATTCGGCCTGATCAGTGGAACTGGAGCATGGTGGAGGAGATGGCGGACAGACCATGAAGCTGATGTCATCCTCAAACTCCTCACTGAGAGATATGTAACAGGTCATTGTAAACTTTTGCATCAGTGTTGCGTGTAGTTGAGATTAGTACCATCTTAATTTTGGAAACAAAACAGACCTTTTGTAATGTACTAGCTCTTCCTGTAGCAAGAACACTTGGGCCTTGAGTTCATTCTTCTCCTGCAGGACGTCCCGCAGCTCCTGCAGGGTGAAGCGAGGTTTGTCTGAGTCCTGCTCCAGGCTGTCTGTCTCTGTCTCTGTATCATCCGACACCTTCTGCAGTCAAAACATGCGTTCAGCATTTCTCTGGAGCAGGAGGGTTAAACTGATATATATTTCTGCCAACTGCAGAGTGGTGGTGGTAATTCATATCAACAGTTGGCTATGAAAGAATTAAGCAATGCGACAAATAAAATAAGATAAGAAGAACACTTAAGTTGATGTACACAAAGCAGATTTAAAAACATTAGAAAAAGACTTTTCTAATGTGTCCTTAAGGCCTTACATGCTTGTAAGGCCTTAAGGACACACCAGCATGACAGTATGATCATGCTTCATGTTTTATGTAAATAGCGTGGGCATCTACTATAACCACAGTCAGACTGTGTACAGGGGGAGCTAAACAGGTTTTACCAGTAACGATGTTGTCGTGTCCTCGTCTCTGTCACCCTCTTCCTCATTATTTTGTCTTTTTGATGAGCTTGGGAGAAGTGAAGGACTCTTGTCATGCTCAAAGCAGTTTGCCAGGAAGCCAGGGTCCCCTCCACACTCCACCCACACTGAATTTGGTTTGATGGAGTTAGATGGCGAGGACTGGATTGGTAACAAAAAAGATCCACTTAAAACCTGAGAGACTTAATGAACTATGGCCAAACCTAATTTCCAATACATTTTGCGCATGGTTTCCAGCCTGCTGAACATAAGCCCTTTTTCTTCTTCTTACCGTCATCTGTGGGGATGTAGGCGGTGACATCCCAGATCTGGTAAAAGAGGTTTCTTCTATATCAGTGACCTCTTTCTCCAGTTCCCACCCCAGGAGCTCCTTTCTCAGCCTTGTGACCTGGAGCTGCAGAGCGACCAGCTCCTGCTGCCGTGCCTGTGCTGCAGCTTCCAGCCCGGCCTTCTGCTGGATCAGTGCCTTGCCCTGAGCCTCCATCACTCCTATCCTGTGACGGAGATCCTGGTTGATTCTAATCAGCCGGTGCTGCTGCATCTGGAGCTATAGTTGAGGAAATGTATATTGTGACTTCACAAAATCTGGTTCCAAGGAGGTAAATTGTAAACTAATGTGAAAGGTTTATCAGGTGCCAGTATATGTGCTGTATATGGTCTAAATCCTCACCGCCTCAACATCCTCATTTTTTAGTGTCAGCTCGTGGTCTTTAGCCCGGATCTCATCCCTCTGCTTATCCACCAAGTCTGTCAGCTTCTTCAACACCTGCCTTTCCTTCTCCGACATTCCTGTGGATATCATAAACAAAATGCATTTGACAAGAAAGATTCAAACCTCAACGCGTTTGGCAGGCGACTCTGAAATCTAAATATAAACATAACATTAAAAAGAGTTTCAGAATAGACAATGTTTGCAATTGTATTACCCCAATGACAATGGAAATCTAATTTAATGTAATTTTTCAAGGCAAAACCTCACCGGGATGGATTGCTTCATCTCAAATGCAGGCGTCTGTTGATTGTCACACTGAACCAAAACAAAGTAAAACTATTGGTTGAGTAGAATGGTAGCAAATCAATATATTAAAGCATATACTACCCCTTTAATGTATTTCCAGACAAATGTGTCAGCAAGCAAAGTGATCACATGACGCAGTACCCATTCATTTGGATGACCATGTTTATAAGCACTTTGTGCACTGTGGCCCTGACAGTAAGTATAGCCGCAGCCACCATGAAAGTCTCACACAGGAGCATTATATTCTGGTCTGCTTTAAAAATAGTCTCCTTTACAAGCTCCTGACTGACTCTCTTCACAACCCCCCCCTTTTTCATGTCAACGTGCAAGCACGCAGCATAAACTGTGGAATCACATGTGACAACATCAGGGCGAGTATGTGTGACGTACAGCAGACGGTTAATCAGCGCAACACAAATCTGCAGTGAGCACACATCTGGAACATAAATCAGATCTGTGCTGGAACTCTCAGCCAAAACCGAACTAATTTAGTATCGGTCCTCACAAGATACTGTACCACACGACATGCACGGCAAGACTTCAAACAGCAGCAGAGGTCTGTGTTGTGATTATTAGTAGTTATTGTACTAGATGCTCATTACATTTTCATATTCTTAACATTTGTATATTTTACATAGCCATACTATTTTTCACAATAGATTTGTTTATAGGCATTAGTGAATTGCTATGAACCAATGCCCTTTGGGACAATAATTAAGTAATTGATAAAGATCAACTCACAATTCACTCATCACTCTCTTCTTTAATCACCATATAGAGATGAGCTGATCAAGCTATTTCTTTCCCGATGCTGATTCTGAAAGCTGAACTTTAACTCATGCATATAACTCATTGAGGTGAGTTGGCAGCCTCCTGTCACTGAAAGAATGTAACCGATATTGGGAACACTTAATTCTTAAAATTACATTGGAAAAAAACCCATGGATCGGTCAAGTCATGGCTGGTACCCGATCGGTCACCAGATAATTAGTAAATTAAATATTGCATTTACACCTGGAAAGATGAAGAAACCTAAGAAAAAAAATGGCATGATAATAAGTCTTTTTTTAAAAACCCCAGTTTTTTCTTATCCCATATCTGATCTTAGTTGAAACTTCCCAAAACCCATCAGTGAAACCCTGGTGGGGAGTCGACGGTGCAGACAACCCACCCTCCTGTTTCTGCAGGTCCTCCTGTGTGACGGGGAACTCTTTGAGCGAGAGGCTCACCACCAGCCTCTTGTTCTCAGAGTGAAGCTGGGTGATCTGAGAGAGCAGGTCCTGGACTTCTCCTCGCCACGCATCCTCCACCAGCTCCAACTCCTGAGCAGAAGGGATGAAGAAAAAATAGAAATGAGGCCAAACTCCAACACAGTCAAGTGTCTGCACGAAGTGGTATTTGTTTGAAAGTTGTCGATATAACGGTAACACTTTACTTCAGATTTAGCTGCCCTCGAAATCGCTTAGTTTTGTTGTAATCACACATTATTTGAGTTTATTGAAAGTGGGCTGTTAATGAAATGTAGTAATGTGAAGTGTACCACAAATGAATTAATTGCTCCCTAATCATTATGATAGCATAGTAATTAAGTAGTATTGTGTAGGAACGTTTGCTACATTGGTATTACAACTACACTAATCTGATGCAATAATATAATCACATAGTAATATATCTACCTTATCTGTGACTATCACAAACACTGCTACATTTATTAACAGATTTATCAGTTTTGCAGGATTTGCAGCTTTTATAGATGCGACTGTGACTTATGCTACCTTGAAAGGTCAAAATACAAATGCCAACACAAAGCACACAGAATGGTAGACAGACAGGGACAGGGACACACACACCTACCTTCTGGTGCTTCTTCTCCTGCCCGGATCTGTCGCTCCGCTCCTGCCGCAGCCTCTCCAGCTCCCTCCGCAGCTCTTCGGCCTCCTTTTCGGCTGCTCCGCTGCTCACCAGGGCCTCCAGCAGCTCCAGCACCCGCACCACTTTGGGCACCACCTCGACCAGAGACTCGCACCCAAACCTGTCGATGATCCGCTCAAACTCCCGTCCGAGCACCGCCGCGATGTCGTACACATCCATGACCGTCAGCTCCGCAGCGGGTCTGTCCAGCGCGGACATAACGCAGGTTTCCATGTCTGCCCTCTGCTTTATCTACACCTCCGACATTCAACATATCCGTCTGTCCTCCGACACTCTGAGGAGACTCACATTTGCCTTAAAAAATAAAGTGATTTACACAAGCTAGCCGAAGCGTGTGTGAACATGGAGAGGACTTGTTTCACTTTGTTGACAGTTAAACACTTTTCCAGCGTCGGAGCGTTACTTGTGATGCTGCCTTCCATGTCCCCGAGAAAACTCGTACATGTCACTACTTAGCGTATATTCAAGTAATGAAGCTCCGTCTGGGTCGCTGGTGCCTAGTGTTTTGTTTTTTTACCTGTGCTACAATTAACAATATAGTGCAAGACAATACGCAAAACTGGCACAAGCGATAGAGCTAGAAGCTGCTAGTTGAAACACCAGTGCTTAATATTGCCGTATACTGACCAATAATAATAATATACATTATTTGTAATACATTCTTTTGACTATCATTATATATCCCTGTTAGCATGTTATCCGCATAATTTCACCGTCGTGTTTGAGGAAATCTCATATTTACAACCGCTCCTGAAGGCAGCAGCCGTACCTCCACGTTGACTCAAAGTCCTTGTGCGCATGTTTTGACCTTCTACGCACATCAGTCAGCATTTAAAATATCCCACCACTGCTGAGCACTTGAGGTACAGGAAGCCAGTAATAAGCAATGAAAAACATTACATTTTTGACAAAAAATATTAAATATTTGTATTGTATGCGTGTGTAATTTTTCTATTTTGCATTAATATAAAAAGGTAAGTGAGTTTCTTGTTAGGAATATGAGAAGAAAGTTTGTATGGAATGTTCACTTAATTCATTTTTAGCAACCAACCCTGCCAATACCTAATATTTGAAGAGTCTTTGCGTCTTCTTGAATGTGCTTTTTGTGACGTCGTTGTTGAACAATAAGACCTACAAAAAAGCTTAAGAGACAAAGTAACACAATGGGACACTAAATTAAACATTTATTGTTCATTTGTTTGACATTTACACTTCTTACAAGGTGAAACTACCATTATCTTTACTAAAATATATTAATAGATCTGAGTGTATAAAGACATTTCGTACAGAGGAAAGGAAAGAAAATAAATGCATTTTTAAGACCCTGTATGAACGGCTACAAGAGGCCAAGAGAGCTTGACCGTGAACCTTCATATTGTACAATAACTAACCCTAAATCTTCATTCAGCCGAAAAGAAGAATTTAACATTTAAAGACACCTACATCCGATATTTGTGTGCAAGCATTAAGAGATTTTTTAATATATATATATATATATAAATTTCTATATATGTATATATGATTCACCATGATATCCAGGTTCTCCTATAATAAAAGGGACATTCAAGAGATGAGTGTAGATATAAATTATACTTAATGCGAGTGGCACAGTCCTATACAGACTGTGTCTTTACAGGTATGATTCAATGCATTAATATAGTACATTCCAAGGCCTCTGAGACAATCTTGTACCTTTGAGAAAGAAAGCTGTTTTGCACATAAAAGGAAAACTGTCTATCATGAAGGCAAAGCCAGAGGTATGTCAAACTTTTGCAGCAACATGGTCACACATGATGTGATTTGCAGGTTTCCATTACCTCCCACCACAACATAAATAGCTTAGAGTGTACATAAAGAAAAATGTGATGTGCTCTGTGAGGAACATTCAAAATAGTGTGTAAAAAGGTTGTCCAAAGCATGATGAAAACTAACATACAAACTACAAGATATGCTGTTGATTTGTAGTTATTATCAAGGTTTCTATTCTAAAAGCAGCAGTAGTACTTAATCATCTAAAACAGTTGTGATGCAAAAACAAAAATACTTTTACACAGTCTAAAATATTAACCTTTTTATTCTTGATGCCAAATACTAAATTAAAAAGGGTTCTGCCTGGACAACATCTGCCCTTTTTAAAAAGGGGGTAAAGGTAACAGGCATCAAGGGTCAAAAATCAGGCTTCTGGTCCATTTTGGCAAAAAACAAAACCAAAAAAAGAAAGTAAGAAAAAAAAAAGGGAAAACGGTGAAATGCAGAATGAGGCAGAGGATTGTCAGCATGCAACTTAAAGGAACCATATGTACACAACATGGTGAATCTGGTCAATCCAACCATCCATTAGTGGAGAGTTTTCCTCATCTTCTCCAGCATTACTTAAACTGTAACATACAGAAGAAAAGAGGCAAACAAATATTGGATTTATCAACAAGTCCATCATATGTTATCACATGCAAGACGCTGACTTTTCTTCACATCCCTTACCGTGGTTTTGGGTGGTGCGTTGGGTTTCTGGGCCAAAGCGGGTTTCTTGAAGAGAGCAGGCTTGCTGAGTTTTGGTGACATGGTGACAGGATGGTCCAGCAAGGTGGTTTCACCGTTCCCCTCAGAAACCTGCTCTGAAGGAACTCCGACCACCTCATAATGCTTCTTCCTCAGCTCGCCCAAACGCAGACGCTCATTCTCCAACTGACTTTCTAATTCCAGCACCTTCACCTGAGGGGCGGGAAATAACCAGGGAGGTATCCATGTTTAAAAAAAGTTTCTGCTATATTTAGTTCATTTAATGACTTCCATGTAAAAATCAGTTGCATGTCAAGCTCATTTATGTGAAATGGGAAAATAACCCAGGTCATTATAGTATCCCTGTGCTTGCATTTAATCTGTCAGTGTTGAGTAGTGTTTTCTTTGAATACATGTATGGCTGAATATATTAATTGGAATTGGTCCAGTTTTCAATAAGATTGCAGAGCTTTTAAATCACAACTGATAAGTAAAGATCAAAGAAATATGATATGACCTGCGTTTTAGATTATGCGTTTAGACTTAAACTTACATTTAAAATCAATTTAGCTACAAAGAAATAAGAGTGGATGTTTTCAGTAGCTAACAAATATCAAAAGTAAGGGACATGCACTTCCAGCCTTTAGCAATCACTCTTTAAAACCCCTCGTAGCTCCGTGACCATGTCTTACCTGTGACTCCATTTCTTCTTTTCTCAACTTGATGACGGACATCCCAGAGAAGTCCATGGTTTCTGCATGTGAAAAGTGTTTAAGAATTATTAGACAGATGCTCATCAGAGTCCAAAATGATCTAGTGCACAGATCAAATTGTACTTCACCTTTCTCCTCCAGGTGCTCCTTTCCCGTCCTCGTTGAGGCCACCACATTAGCTGCCATTTCATTCACATGGCGAGAAGCCTGCTGGAGAACTGTAAGCCTCTTACTGTTGCGTTCTGCCTTAACCTGAGTGCAGAGGAGAGCGCTTGAGTGAGACCAGATGACACAATTTAGACACAAATCCAACAAACTCATTCGCATAATACAATGTAGTTTATTTCTACAATAATACAGTATCTCAGAGTATTGTTGTATTTCTCTTAGAAATCGTCAGACTATTACCTTTGAGGCAGCAACCAGCTGTGCTGTGCTGGCAGCGATTTCGTGGGAGCAGACAATCAACTCTTCGTATTTGCCTGTGTGCAGCACCACCTTATCAGCAGACTCCCTGTGAGGGATCAGGTAAATACTGTATGTTTACTGTGTCGGAGTTGCAACGCAACATTTCTAGCAATGTGCCTTGAAAAACTAGCTCTGGCAGCTGCAATAATCTTTTTCTTACGATGGCACATGCACTTTGCAAACGAAGACGCAATGTCCTGTTAGACTTACACCATCTCTGTGGCTCCCCATCCCACAGCCTTGGCAGCAGAGATTAGCCCCTCAGTCCAGCGAGAGTTTCTGGCGTAGAACTCCTTAATACTTGCTGCACCCTGAACAAGCCAAACAATAATACCGTTAGTCCCCGTTTGTTGTTGTTTTTCTGAATGGAACAGAGCAGCTCCCGGTTTGAAACAAAAGCTGTTGATTTCAAACAAAACCGAGCTGCAAGTTATGGATTCAAAATGAGAACAGTGCGACTCACCCTCCCACTCTCGACAATCTCCTTCTGCAAGTCTGTAGATGATATGATCAGCAAGCGGATGGCCTACGAAGAGTGGACGATAACAAGAGAACCAAGAAATTAGGAGGATAATTAAAAACAGGATATATGCAGGGTAGAATATGGCAGTGCAGAACATACGGTATATTAGTTGAAATACATCAAACTACAGTACCTTCATCAGGTCTGTGCAGCTGTTGAGGATTCTGTAATACAGAGTGAAATAGTGAGTGTACATAGTGATTCATAGTCTATTCTTCAGTTAACAACATTCATTGAAGAATGACAAAAGGGTAACAAGGGCAACAAACAAAGGATGCATTTGGGTATTGTGCTCAGCAAACTATTATTAGCCTGATGAGAGATTTTAAAATCTGTAAAAGACTAACTGTACCCACCAGTTTGATATTAATTCAACTTAAACAGACAATCAATCTTGTTACAAGTTGCTGTTTGAAGTCCCAAAAATATACAAACCTTTCATTGACTTCCAGTTTTACTCCCGATGTGTCCTTTCGTGCCTGATCCATCATTTCCTAAATACAAAACCATTCATGACATTTATTAGTTACAATAGATACACTGCACAATATAACAGGTCAATTCCTTACAGATAATATTAGCACATCTTAAAGTAAGTTTTATATTACTTACATCAATCCTGCGGACAGCCTCCTCAATAGCTGCCGATGTTGCAGCCATTTCCTTATCGACCATATCTCCTAGCTCATCCTGACGAACGTCCATGCCTTTTGGTCGCAGCTCCTAGATACAACGAGAAAAATGATTGGTAATGATAAAGAAAAATACAAGCGAGCACTGTTAGAAAGGACTTAAAACTGGGGAAAATGTTCACAAGTCTTGATGCAGAAATAAGATTTGACTTCCAAACAAATCATAAAATATGTGTATGTAATATAACAAATGTAAAAATGACAACATATTGTACATCCACATCCAAACACTGCATTAGAACACACTGATGCATTTACAGTGTTCATAATGCAGGAAGTAGTTGGAGATGCTTCCTATGAATTTCGTATTTTTGTAGAGAGAATATAAAATAGTTAATGTATCAGTAATCCAAACACCTGCTGACATCGAGTCAAAGCCAGAATCCAGTGTTTTATTTTGGCCTCCATGAAAGCAAAGAATAAAGTGGTTAAATTGAGAGTGCATCTCCACTTTAAATCAATGTGAGACCAACTTTTCAGCTGCAGGACCTCACTGTCCCAGAAACAAGTGGTGGTAGGAATGCTTAATAAATGCTAAATAAGCAACATGATGACTCTTTGTTTGCAGGGACATTAATCATCTGCAAGCGGCAAACTGTGCCAGAGAAGTGTACTCATTTATAGAACATAATGCATTACAGAACTGTTATTCATATCTCATATTGTGAACCTGGGTCTCCTTATTGTGACGACAGCAAAGGCAATTACTGGTAGTAATATTTAATAAAATATGAATACAGATATTCTGTGTTAGCGTCTCTCACCTGACCCAAGTGAAGGATCTTTTGAACAATCACTCGAATGGAGGCCGGGTCTGCCCTTTGGAGGGTGGTCTTGGACTTCAGGTCCTTGAAGAACAGCAGACTCTGAGTGGCACAGCCTCTGCAGTTCTCCGTCAGTCCTGGTAGGTGTAAAAGGGCAGTGATCAGCTATCCGACATAATGATGTGTTCTTTTTACACCGACACTTAAACTCACTCTTCAAATTAAGCTTAAAGCACTAAAGCTGAGGATTGAAATTAAAATATCAATATTTATGACGGAGATTTAGCTTTACATTGGAATGAATGGTGTGGGTAATAAATACTAATACAACTACTGTAATGCCAATGATGTAATTCAGATATTCCTTACGGTCTGCATGGTCTGGGGGTGCCGTGTGTGCAGTGGCGCTGCCATTAATGATCGTATCCCCAGCCAAGTGGGAGAACTGGGTCAGGGCCCTCAGCAGCCCTCCAGCATCTGGTTACAAGAGCAAACAGTAAGAGAGCATTATGCCACATCAGCAAACCAGCCACAAACTGTCATGAGGTCAGCAGGATCACATTGAAACAGAAGCAGAGAAAACTCACCCCCCATGTTACTCAGATAATCTGCATGGCCCTTTTTCACTTTGTCAACGGAGCCCAGCGCGGCCTCCGCCCGACTTACAAGGTAATCTGTGTTTGAAGGACAAACAGAGGATTGAAAAAAAACAAAAAAAAAAAACACATAAGATTTGTTGAAGTCACTTTGCTGTTAATCTTTTCAGTTTATGTCTGTTGAAATAATAGAACAGGGGTCTGACCTGGAGAGCTGGTGCAGCGTATATG